CCACAAACCACAGGCAGTTTAAGGCAGCCTGGAAATCTCTTACATCTGGAAGAGCAATAATTCATGGGATTTCACTTGACAGCCATGACAGGCAGCAGGGCAGCCAGAAACAACTGTCTCTTATGTTGTGCTATTTGCAAAAAGTCAGAAGAGGAGGAGCAGGCACAGGACCACATCCTTCTTTAGCATATGTTAGAGGAGGAAACCCTTTTATTTTCTGCCAGATGCTCCATGAATAGTCCTAAATATTACATAGACAGTAGCTATCACTTCCAAACAAAATTCCTTGGTGTCTGCTAAGCTGCAAAGCATATGAAGGCCTATTGTCTGGCAAAGGGTCATGGTTAAATTTGCACAGATTTTTTTTTATAGATATTTCAGATTCTACATTATGATTTATAGGCATTTGCACACCCTGCTGTGCATGAATATGATACCATCTTCTGGGCAGGATTATTTCATGAAATGTATATGGGATTTAGCTACAGTAACTTTTACTGGGCAGCTTAGAATGGCCGGCAAAGTACTAGAATTTACTGCAGCACAGCTTGTGCTGTCAGGCTCATGGCTGGTGTTTATGATTTCTGCAGAAGCAGAAATAAACAACTTCTCCTTAATGGCTCTCTTTATGTGTAGGCAGCAGTAGCTCTATCTGGTCTCACAACAGTAGCTGGTGCAGTGGTCTGTCCCATTTCATGTGGAACCAATGTCTGAAAATTTGCATTTCTGCTTTTCTGAGTTTTCAGTGGAAGCGACCGGGAATGAATAAATCAACTGCAAATGTCTGAATGAGTAGCATTCCATTCGACTGCTTTTTCATGCTATAAATACATCTGGTTAAAATGGCCAGGTTTTGGAGTAAGAGCAAAATGATCAGATTTAATCTTAGTTTGTCTTAGAGTCTATACCCACACCGTAAATACTCTGATATCAACTGAGACCTACTTAAATTACTGTCTTAGGGAAGGAGGCCTGTCTTCTGAGGGTCTGTGGTAAAGCAGCTTAATCAACATTTTTATGGGCATTTACATACGCGCTTAAGTAAAGGCTGAAAAGTGGGTAAGTTTCACCAGTCTGCAAACAGATGAATTAAATATCAATTTACTTTGCTTATATCTGCACATATATATATAAAGCAGAATAGTCAGAATGTAATTGTCTAAGTTTTTTGATGCAACAACTGTTTTTAAAGTTCAAAAGAATGTCGACACACTCACTGTATATATAAGCAAGCAGAAAATGCTTTTTTTAAAAGAAATGAGACAACTACTCTATGCCAAAGAAAAACAATTCCTTTGCCAAACTACACATTGTTAACTTAAAATGTGTTCCATGTGGAAGTAGGAAGACTGATCTGATGGAAAGGCTAGTGATTTAAAGTCAGCTGGCTCTGTGCCTGTCAACTGCACATTCTGGTTTCCAGTTTTACAGCTAGAATTGGAAATATTTAGCTTCTTTTTTCTTTTTTCTTAGGGAGGGGGAGGACAGAATTCTTTTTCCTTTTCTAGTGATGCAATGAATTTACCAATAAACTTGCCTATATAATCATCCAGATTTTAAACAAAGACAATACAATTTTGAATTACTTGTACAAACCTCATTCTGTATTTTTAGGACTTTATTTTATATTAGACTCATTTTCCAAAATGAATTTAACATCACTTTTTTATATTCATCACAGTTTTTCTAGGAAGAAACTGTTTTACCCCATCTTTTCAGCATGGAAAAAGTATAAAGAAAAGTTTATATTCTGAGGGAAGTACAGTATCTTACAGGTCACTGTATTTTACCTTTCATTCTGTTAGTATTACCTGTGTTGATCAAACCTTTAATTTTTGCCTTCCTTTCCTGCCCATAAGCCATACTGTCCTGTCTTTGCATGCGGCCTAAAGGATATTGCAAATACAAAATGTTCAGATAGGCAGAAAGAAAAAAGCTACACTACTAAACCTGGGTGATATCTTAAAAAGAGGCTATCACCCCATGGTATTTTCTGCAGGATTCTCAAAACTTCTTTTGTTATTCACATTAAACTTAAATCCATCACCCTGTTTTAGTATATATTTTCCAGCACATGCTGCATGGTAATTATGAATACAGAAGGTTCTATTCATTGTGGAGGTTTTTTTAACATTCTTTAGATACACTGAACACTATAAGGTTGAATTTTGATTACTGGTTTTCTGCACACAAAACATGCTTAAAGCACATTTGCTTTTCTTTTTAGCTTTAAAATATTTCTGAAACATCTAGCAAGTCTCAGGATACTTAAATGGCAGAATTTCAGACACAATTCAGCCAGAGCTGTTTACTGCAAATATGATTGTGGAATGCCTCCTTTTTTTTTTTTTTTTTTCTTTTTGCTAGAATACCCACGTTTTATTTATGATTTTGGATTTTATTTCACAGCATTCCAGTTTAGTTTAGCACGATGTATTTAATAACCATGTCTACTGTCTTAATTACCCTATAAAGCAGGGTTCCATTGGCATTTGACCCTCCACAGCATTCCAGAGAAACTGCAGGACCATGATAATTACCAACTGCCTGTGAGAAAATTAAACAAAAAAGGCCTAACTTTTAAACCACCATTTTAAACGACCTATTACATCTCAGGAATAAATCATTGATGAAATAGCCTGCTTAACAGGAAAATAGCTATTCCATAGCAAAGAATTTCCCCTTGCATGATCATGAAGAGAATATTAAGTATTCTTCAGCTCAAAAGGTTAGGTTTTATGTCTGTCCAATGCTTTTTAATGACACATTTTTGTGTAATTTTATTGTAATCAAAGCCTTTTCCTATGTAGGCTGTAGACTATGACTATTTTGTCAGTCTTAAACATTTTACTAGTCAAAGAATAGAAAATCTATTTAAACATGTACCAAGAAAATTAAACATGTACCAAGAAAAAGTGTTTATAAATCATTCACCATGCACCATGCATGCACCATTCATGCACCAAAAGAACCTGCATTAATGTACCTTGATTTCCTTTGATTAACATAGCCATTTGCTGTATATTTTTCAAAAAAGTGCTCATCGATTTAAACTCATAACAGTACACTCTATTAATTGATAACACAGTTTTAAAAAGCTAATAAATTTTGAAAATCTAAATCATGGTTTGATTTATTTGATCACTCTCTCTTTAGTCTGTATCTAATGGCAATTACTATACCATCCTATGCTCCATTTCTTATTGCTATGCTTAACAAGAATTCTATTTCATCTATCTTTTTCTAAATGTCAGTTTGTATTTTTTCTAAATAATTAATCTTGGTTGAACATTGACACTAATTTCCAGATCAGATTAGGTCAGCATTCCTCATAGTGTAAAGTTAGGAATGTAATCAGTAAAAAAAAAAAAGGTTGTTTTTTAAATTCTACAATTAAAAATATGTTTTTTCACTTTTACATGTAAGACACAGGAGACACAGGACATAAACCAAGGGAATATGCACCAGTTTTAAAATTATTTCCAGAACATTTTCTAACCCTTCTTAAAACATTTCACTTGAAAGCATCTCTGTTTTCAACAGAAGCAAGTAGAAATGTAATGAACAAAGAGTTTATGGAGGAGCCAAGCCACAAATGAAACTTGAATAGTTTTAGAAAGGGAGTTTGAAAATAATTCTGTGTTCAATCAGAAATAACTATTCTACTCTGTGCCTTATAGCATAAAACAAAAAAAAAGTGCCTTGTGACATCTATCAGCATGGTTTAAGACCTCTGGCCACGACTTTTATTTAAATTCCAGTTTAATTTATAATCCAAAGCAGAGATTAAATGCATAGCAGGCGACTGAATCCTAGTGGTATATTACAAACTTCTGGGTTTGATGATCCCAGTGCAGTTGTTCCCAGCCCAAATTTGACACTGCTATACCATTGTTCCCATACTACTGTCTACTGAAGTACCACCTGCGTAATCACTTAGACTAGAGCTGGAGTTACTATTGCAGCCTGGGAATTTCTGGAATAACATGTAGTTTAAAATCATAGGAAAATAAGAACAGCCATAATGGTTCAAACCAAAGGTCTAGCTAGTCTCATATTGTGTCTCTGACAACGTCCTGTACCAGATGTCAGAGGGAGAGGAAAAGAACCAGGCAAGCATGTAATACTGTTTCCCATATTCATCTGGCCTTTAGCTGTAATTCAGACTTCTTGAATGAGATTCTTTTGTATTTATGTTTTTTCTCAATAAACTGGAACACATGACATTTTTAAACATCCACAGAATATAGCAATGAGTTCCACAGCTTAGCTATATGTTGTAGAAACCTCTTGCTTATTTTTAAACTTCCAGCTGCTTTTTTCATCTGGTAGCCCACATGCTTGTATAGGAAAGTACAGGGGATCAATACTTTCCTATGTGCATTCTCCAGGATGATTAGAAATTTTGTGGACATTCATCAGTTGCTCCCTTAACTATTTTTTGTTATTTTATTATTTCTTTTCTTTTCTTTTCTTTTCTTTTCTTTTCTTTTCTTTTCTTTTCTTTTCTTTTCTTTTCTTTTCTTTTCTTTTCTTTTCTTTTCTTCCCTTATCTTCCCTTCCCTTCCCTTCCCTTCCCTTCCCTTCCCTTCCCTTCCCT